TCTATTGTTCAGTCCCCCTTTGAATGCAGAAACAAACTCACACACACACAAAGAGACTCTAACTAGTCCTTGGAGGTTGACCTTATGAGTTGCCCTCAAGCAGCCGTAGGCCCCAGCTAGGCATTGTAGCAAATATGGCTGCAAGCATTGAGTTTCAAAAAAAGTGATGATACAGTAAGAAATGTTGCACAGATCTTGAACAAATGACCACCAAGGGTCAGCATTTGTGTTAACGTCCAAATTATTTAAGGACTGTGGTAGTATCTTGTCCGTTTATAAAGTTGGTATTTTCAGCTGAAAGTAATACAGTGCGCGGAACATGTGTGACTTGGAATATTGACATTTGGATGTGATCAGAAAGAAATGCGTGCTGCTGGTAAAAATGAAGTTGTTGAACACCAGTTAACAGATGCATGGTAACTTCATTGTATTAATTCTATCAGTTAAGACATTTCTGTGAAAAAATACAATTGCCGGAATAGAAACTGCTGGGAAGTAAAGTGATTCTCCTTTGATTTTCACTGAAGGTTCTACAAGAAGCCTTTGTGCGTTGTGTTGCAGTGCTCGCCAAATCCAGTAAACCTGATGACTTGGCCGTGCAGGTAAGATTTCGGATCAAGGTTCTCTCCCCGAATGCTTTGTTATCATGTCCTGTGCACTTCTCTTGGGACCATTACAGTCATTGCTTTATTCTTATTTCCCTTGAGATGTACACTTTGCAACCCAATTTGGAAAAGACTTTTCTCTCGGTGGGGTGTAGACAAAAGCCTGATTTCTTGTCCTCCCAAAAAAATGGGTGTGTCCACAATAATTCCTGGGCGTATCTTGGAGAAGAAACTCGCCATCTGTTTCCATAGCCAGACATCAGGTTTCTTTGTGCGTTTATTTCTCAACAAACGGAGATACAAATAGATTTGAATTCTCAAAATTTGAGGTAACGAAATTAAATATTTCATTCTGATTCTTATTTGTGAATTTTTAAAATGTTTGTTCTGATCTTCATTCTTTTGACTTTTAAATGATATGCAAACTCGCCCTTAGTGCAGTGGTTCCGTCATAGGCATGGAGAGTGTAACCAGGGTGTCTGTCTGTTTGTCACTCTGTCCACAGGTGTGCATCAATGTAATCAAGTGTTACGCCGTAGCAGCACAGTTTGAGATGTGTCGGGACCGAATCACTGAGATGCCAGCCATCATTAAGGATTTATGCAGGACTCTTTACTGCCAGGTAAAACCCCACAGACTTTGAGGTAGTTTGCAAACCCCAAATTCAGCCGGTTAGTTAACGGCCAAAGCAGCAGTTTGGAACTCGTCTTCTTTAATGTAAAGGTTTTTCTTTTGGGCCCCCTACCTGTTTCCTTAATGAGGAATGTTTACTTATCTTCTCTGAAATCAGAATGCTCCATTATCTTTTATCCCATCCACAATCCCCTGTTATGTTCCATCATTCCTTGTGCGGATTTCCGGTAGTCTTGATGCATTTTCAGTGTACAGCGGAAGTTCAGACATGTACGTGATACAATGTACATAAATATCCCACAATAGAAGGAATTTAATTTATTGTACCCTTCAGAAGATGGTAGGCCATGTGCAGCCCTACTAAAGCTATGGTTGTCACGTTTGTCATTACCAGATATCGGTGATGGTCTGGAAACCTTACAAAGCCTTTCAAGTTTGTGGTCTTTGTTCTTGATTACAGCACCTAACTGCCTTGTGCATTGAATCCTGTAAGTGTGTGAGTGCCTTCGCTGTGGACAAATACCTCCAGGATCACCTGCAGCAGGCTGGCATCCTATGGCACCTGCTGCTGTTCCTCTTCAAGTATGACTTCACTCTGGATGAGTCTGGGGTGGAGGTGGATTCCAGCACCAACCAACAGGTGAGTAGATCTGACTGTCCATCACTCTGTCTGCCTGCCTGTCTGTCTGTCCTATGGCACCTGCTGCTGTTCCTCTTCAAGTATGACTTCACCCTGGATGAGTCTGGGGTGGAGGTGGATTCCAGCACCAACCAACAGATGAGTTGGTCTGACTGTCCATCAATCTGTCTGCCTGTCTGTCTGTCCTATTGCACGTGCTGCTGTTCCTCTTCAAGTATGACTTCACCCTAGATGAGTCTGGGGTGGAGGTGGATTCCAGCACCAACCAACAGGTGAGTAGATCTGACTGTCCATCTCTCTGTCTGTCTGTCTGTGTGTTCCATGGCACCTGCTGTTCTTCCTCTTCAAGTATGACTTCACTGTGGATGAGTCTGGGATTGAGATAAATTCCAGACTCATCTAGATTCATTGCTCTGTCAGGCTGTCTGTTTGTCTGTCAGTATAGGGGGTGGCTATTAAATCTTCAGGGCCCTCATGCAGGAGACATACTGTACTTAACAAAGATGGCAGAAATGTAGACTTTACAAAGTTTTCTAATTTCAGCATTTCGGAAGTTCCAATTGGATTAAGAAGTGTCCTCAATATGATAGCTTTAATTACAATAAGCAGTCATCTCCTCAGTTAACAATGAACCAGGTCAAGCATCTCTCAAAGAATCTGTGTCTGCCTGTTAGTATTACTGTTGATAAATGTTCCAGCAGTGTTACCTGAAATAATACTTGCATGTGCAATATTTTTATCCACTTAAGGGTACAGAGCTTTCTTCTGCCACATCACAAGTGGAACAGAAATGAGCAGTTTTTCCTAACCAATTTTTTGCAAAACTATGTCGAAGGAATAATTGACAGTGTTAAAATAGTTACACAGCAATAAAAACACTTAATAGTACATATTTCTACTAAATGCCAAATGAATGTGTCTTCCATTTCAACACANTAGGATGTTTAATTTGCTTTTTGAGGCAAAAGTTGCTGCCAACTAAGGATTAACTTTCTGCAAGCGTCAGTGGCTTAACAACATGTTGGTCAGTTTTTCAAAACCAGACAGAGGTCTACCGAGAGTGACTCGCTTGAATGTCTTCTAGTTGATTTTCACTCCCTGTGCTTTCCCATACGGTGTTTGCATTTCGTCCTTCTCCTTTCCTTCAGCAAATGGCCAACAACCTTGCCCGGCTGAGCCTGATTGCTCTGACCAGGCTGGGAGGTTACCGTCAAGACGAAGAGAAAACTCCGGAGAACCCCGCTATCCGCAAGTCCTTGTCGGCTCTCCTCACTCCCTTCCTAGCCAAACAGCTGTGCCTGCAAACGTCCAATCAGGTCAGTACAGTCTAACAGGTCTGATAGGATTCCTTGCGTTATCCTTAGAGAGCCACGTGAGGGAAAAAGATATGTTTGACATGGCTGACCCTTATAAAATTAAGAGAACGAAGTCAGAAATGTTCCAAGTGGAACCAAACCTAAAGAAACCAGGTTCTTTAGAGAGTCTAACACACTGTGAATCAAAAAAAAAGAAAATACTTCTGCTTCCGGTTTACCAACTGACCCTAATTTTATGAAGCTTTCATCCCCATTCATTCTGTTACATCAGCAGAAAAAAATTGAAACCCGGGGGGGGGATACTTACCAACTTTACTGCTGCAGCAACCATGGCTACAGCAGCCCATGAATTGGTCTCTTGATTGAAATGTTGGCCATAAATGCAGCCTTATTATCTGTGACTGTGTTTTTGCTTAGCATTGCCTCCTTGTTTCTTACAAAAAAGAACATGTTTAGTTGACCCCAGTGTTGGTCATTTATCACAGAATATGTTGCCGTCAGATTTTGCGCGTTTTGTTGGACGTCCTACTTTTTCACTTGTTACTCTTTCTATTGGTTTACCCATAATGCCTTGCTTCTTTCATTCCAATGCACACGCTGATTAGGTTGCTGTGCCTGTCAATGAGGTAAGATATGATGTCATCCATTGCCGTAACCACCACTCACTAAGTGTTAACCACTTCCTGCCGGGGACTCCGGAATCGGAGGCGTATGGTTTNCTCCGAACAAAAGACCAGGCTGCTGGGCATTACCGACATTTTTCACTCTCAAAAGTGGTGATAATCCAGCCTTGTTTTGAAACCATATACCAGGGTTTGGGGCATTGAGAGCGAGCGGATTACCATCGGGGACAAAAGCGCTCCACCACCACAGTGATGAGCCACACAGCACCGCTGCACGCTAATCTGGCCCCTATTGAAAAGAGGTCAGCAGTGCACTGAGCCAGGTTCGTGAACAAAAGACAGTTATACAACACCGCACAATCTGGGCTCTTTTTAGAAGGCTGCAGGCCTGGCTGAAATACTCGGGTGTCAATGAAGGTCACCTGTCAACTTAGAGTAAAGCCTAAAGATTACTTCGTGCGGCTATAAATGACCGTTAAATGAAATGATGAATTTTTGAAGGATTTTGAGAACGGAAAAAATGATAGTCATGCCGGCCCAGCATCCTCAACCTTGAAAAATGGCCCGGCATGAAGTGGTTAATAACGTCACATCTCCATGTAGATGAATCGAATTGAGTTCAATGGAGATTCAGAGAACGTAGAAATCATTGTAGTGATATTTCTGCCTAGTTGCGGACCAAAAGTGCTTCACATTTGTAAGTTGCGTGACACTTGTTAGGGGATAGATAAAGACCACTTGCTTAACAAGTATTTAATTTTTCTGAGGGTATTAAGTGTTGTTTGAATCATCCATCCAATCAGACTAATACAAATACAGTGTTAATTGTCTTAAGGATATTTTTCATGTATGACTAGTGTTTCAAATCTATCTGAACTCAACCCTTTTATTCTTGTTGTCATCCCTGTATATTGGGATTGGTTTCCAGATTTTGTTCCTGTCAGAAATGTGTGTGCCTGGATAGCTATACGATGGTTGGTTTGCTGGGGTCCCAATAAAATGGCTCTGATAGGGTC